GAATTTCATGATCTTCCAGTTTATAGTTTGATAGGTCATTACTTATTTCTTTTGAAATATCTTTTGGGTTCTCATCTTTTACCTGTGTACCTTGAATTTCTATGTTCCAGGCTACCTCTTTTATTCAAGATATGAGACTCTTTCTTCCATTTTAGTGACCTCGCCTTTAAGCACTGAATTTTCCTTTTTAGCTCGTCCATTACCCTTTTGTTTTCTTGATTGATCGAATTTGTCACTCAGAAACTGAACGGAATGTTGAAGTTCCATAATTGTTTTTGTGAGCTGATCAAGAGTCCCTGGACCAACCAAAATTAACAGAAGAAGCACTGGAATCACCCTCAACCGCGGCAACATGCGTGAGAGATGATGCTTTAGCCTCACTTTTCATACAATTGGGGCACTTAACTAATCCACTTCTCATTGCGTTAGATTTTTTGGCACAACTCTCATGGTAAAAACTGGTCTTGCAACTGTTACATGACACGTAATTAACAACAACTTGGAGAATTTTTGATTGTTTTGCAGTTCAATAAATTAGATACTCGTATTGTTCACCATCAGAGGCGTCGAGGTTCCCTGTTATAGCCAAGGATTCTAGGCCATTTATCAACCCTTGTTTAATTCTCTCGTAGTTACTAGGGGTAAGTTCTTGCATTTAATTCTTGACTCTGAATCTTGTAATATTTGATATTTTTCAATAATTACTGTATTATTGTGTGAGAATAATTTTTGATATTCGCGATTCCCACTTTAACGACTATGGCGAGTACGCTGAAATATAATTACCCATATATTACTAACCTATCCTAATGATACTAACCTATCTCAATGTTGGGTGGGTATATTTTGTTTACGTATGAGATTTATCTCGCAGTGGATGAAGTCTGTCCATGTGTATTTTGTGAGGTTTTCGCTAGAGAGACCGGATTCCAATTGACAATAGGATATCGGATTATGCGCTTTAGGTGAAATTTGCGATTCCCATTCGAGAAATGAAACGGCCTAATATTTCTAGCAATCAATCTTCTATTTTTTTTCTTGTAGCTATTCTTTGTAGACTATTGTGAATATATTGGAAGCATTTTTCAGTTTGACTTTAAAAAACAATCTATTAGTAAATAAGGTGAATTTCAATAAACTATTTGAAACTAAATATATAAAGTGGTACTGAAAATTCTAAATACCTACATCACCTACCCTTATTTGTGGCTGCCACAATAGTGAGAACGAGAAGTAATAAATACGGCAGTGCAAATCTGAAGTAAAATAAAAAAAAACTCAAGAAAATTTGTCATACAAAAAACAATCCAACTTCTAGTAAAAAACTGCCACAAGTTACGATTTTTATTTATTTTTTTCAATTTAGCGGCACATGTCCTTTGTCTAAATGCGCATGAAAGTCGGTTCCGCTCCGCGTTCGGTACCGTCGTCTGCAACCGACAGTCCTAGGAAACCGCAGCTTTACGAGAGGATAGCGCCAAAAGCTGGATGCGTCGCGTGTCAGATTTATTATTTTCGAAATATTGGGATTTTGAAGGATGGGTTTGTTGACTGAGATATTCTTACATATTTCAAAGCATTCAACGAATTCTGTCATGTTCGATTTTTGCGCCCTTTTTCAGACATCCGACAACCGATAAGACTTCATATATACAGGGCGTTGATCAAGAGTTCTAATAGAATGTTTAATGTTGCCTAGTGAATGTTAGAGGCCAAATATTCTTTGCATAGGTTTGATATCGCATAGTTAAGGTGGTCAGTACGAATTTGAGAATGTTCGAATTTGGTCTTCGGACAATTATTATTGAGATTATTAAGTTCGATGTTTTCGATGTGTTTGCAATTTTCTTCTTTCAATGGTTCGGATATATCCACTGTTATCGGTTGGCTCGTATTATTTCAAAATAGCTGGCAACGCATAACCGTTTCTTGCAATCGTCAAACAATCAGGAATCTCACAGTTATTATTTTTTGGTGAGGTATTATTACTTCGTTGCTTTCTATGTCGGTTTTTAATTTCGCTACTTGGCAACAGCGAGATGATATTGTAATATGATTTATCTCCGGTCATGTATTATGAAAAAGTAACTCGATTCGCGTGTGAGGTGTTTCAAGGAAGCCGTTATCGTATTCGATTCTGGCTTGCAACGATAATTGAAGACTATCATTTCCTATCAAGACATCAAATACGTTGTTGAACATGAATAGATAATTATTTTAATTTTTTGGATCCTAGTGAATTAATACTTCGCGATGCTGGGATCGTCACACGTCACACTAAATTGATGAGATGATTGCTCAAATACCGTTGATACTATGAACAGATCATAAGATATGGTCGGGAAAACATTTTTGGGACGAATCATTCGTGGAGCCACTATCGATTAAAATTCTGAAGTAATTTTCAGGGAATATTATGGACTCACTGGTGTTACAGGATATTATTTGTGGCTTTAGGTCGCTTATTTCTTGTTAGGGGTTTAGTGGCTGACAATTTATTTTATAAACAGTCTGTGGTATCCGAGGAGGCCTCCTTCAACTTGTTTTGTAGTCGAAGGTAACGGATCATTTTAATTTGCTTTATTTATTTTTGGGTTCGGCTTCACTCTGTCCGTTGTTACGAGGTACTTGCCACAGGCAAAGTTTAACACAGGCATGCGACTTCTCTCCGCACAAACGCGCTCTTATCCGACCTCGGTTTAAAATTTGAATTACGTGACTTTTGGAAAACTGACCTAAGAAGTGTTCTTGTAATGATGTAGGTAGAAAACACGTCGTCTAAATATACAGAGGGCATTATTCATTTTGGATTCTGCATGGAATATTGCCAATGACCCTTTGAAATGTCGCTGTTGCGTTTTTCGAGCCACATGGTAGGCGAATAAACTCGTAGTGTCCATTCTATGCGTTAAAAACGGTCTTGGATAGGTATGTCGGATTCGTCCATTTCGATTTGGTGGAAGCCGCTAGCTAGATCAAATGTATTAAAATAATGGCACTTCCCAAGTTTGTAGAGAAGGTCAGTGAGGTTGGGAAGGAGGTATTTGTCTTCCACAGTTTTCTCATTGATCGCTTGATAATCGATCACTACCCTCCATTTTTGAACTCCCGAAGCGCAAATTTTTTTCGGCAGTATAATTTTTTGATTCTTATTAACTTGCTATTCTACTTCTTTTTTTATGTATGAATGGGTACCGGTAGACTCTGTTCAAATCGGGCGTTCATAATAAGTTCTAATTGGATGTTTAATTTTGGTTTTTAGTAAAGTATAAATGTGAAAGTCGTGTTTTCGCGATAGAAAATACCCGAATATTTTTTGCCTAAGTTTATTGTCACATTTTTTCTCCGTTGTTTAGGGGGTCAGTATGAATTTGAGAAGGATCGAATTTAGGTCGTGCAGAATCATGGTCGAAGTTTTTGTAATCAAAATGTTCTACTTTGAAAGAATTTGAGGTTGTTGAACTAAAACAGTAAAGTCACTATTTCAGTGGTTTCTATATCAAAAATATGACAAGGTAGGAGAATTTTGACTTCCCAACCTGACATCAAATTTCGAAAAAGATATATGGTAGAAACACGATAGTAAACCGGCGAAATGGAGCAGGTTAATCAAATGATGGCGGAGTATCGAAGACAAGAAGAACATCAACAGACTCCTAGAAAGCAAAAACAGAGACTGCGCCATTTTTGCACATGCACACCCATCAGCTAGCATCGCGCATGTTTATATAATACTAGCTGTTCCTACATGCGTTGCTACGCCTCCCCGAAAACAATTGTTTTAAACTTACCCAAGCTTTACGCTTCAGATCTATCCTAAAGGAATCGTGCATTTTTCCGGGATAAAAAGTAGCCTATAATAGAGACTACGTGGTATAAATTTCAAGGAGATTGGTTCAGCGGTTTTCGAGTCCATAAACAACGAACAAACAAACATTATTTTTATATATTAGATTAGCATGCGGCTTCAGGCGAGTATCGCTTCACACTGCCGCCCATCCTCTTTGCGCTCCGGGAAGACCCTAGCCTGACTTATTGAAAATAAATAACGACAAACATTTTTGATTTTTTTGTTAATCGGAATTGTCTTCAGATGATTCCGAACTCATAGTGGTTTTGTATGCGACTGTCGACTGGAATATCTTCGATGACGTATCGATCGTTATCGGGTACTTTCTTTATAATATGTATAAGGATCCTTAACATGGCTTGAGCTTGGTGGTACTTTTACCGTCATTAGCGCTGCCAGACTTCAAACACTTTTTTACGTTGATGTCTCGTCGTAGGCTCATTTCTGAGTCATCTGCTGTTGCGGCAATCCGATCACAAACCTGCTTTCCCAAGGCAGTCAAATCGAGTCCGTCTTCGCAGACCTACAATAATAACAACATTCCATTGGTATTTTTCCAGATCCAGCGGTCCAGGATAGAATTTATCCTTTGTCTCATAACAGATTACTTTTTATGTCGCAAACCATAAAGAAACGTTTTTCTCCTGTGGATAGTTTTCCTCTAACAAAGAAAAAATCCCCCACCCTTCGAGTTCGGAATTTTTTCAGACGCTATGCACTCATGATTTTGTTGAAAAATTGGCTTCAGACAAAATTTTCAGAAATTGCCGGAAATATTTTATGCCCTAGTTATATTACTACTGGAAATTGTAGAGTTTCTATAATTTATTTAATTGAATAAATGTTTTATTCTGATTAAAAACTTCTTATGTGTTTATAATATTTTCTCATCAGTGTTAAAAGTAGGTAGGTAAATTACTTAACACAAGTACTAAAAGTATATCACTTCTAACACAACAACGTGCGTTAAAAATAGTTATACTTTTACTGTCGTTCCTAGAAAAAGTTATTATTGGTAATAAAGTAAGTTTTTAGTGGACCCGCAAAATCTGTGACAATCTTGATATATATTTTTAGTTTACATCTGGAAATTGTTAAATCTGTATTCATCTTGTTTTATATTTTTAACATTAGAATTACCGTTTTTCAGGACCCCCAATCTTAGCCGAAGATTACTTGGACATCCAGGGACAACCAATCAACCCCTGGTCACGTATCTACCCAGAAGAAATGATCCAAACTGGTATTTCTGCTATTGACGTCATGAACTCCATTGCCCGTGGTCAGAAGATTCCCATTTTTTCAGCAGCTGGTTTGCCCCACAACGAAATCGCCGCCCAAATCTGTAGACAAGCCGGTCTTGTCAAGGTGCCTGGAAAATCAGTTCTAGATGACCATGAGGATAACTTTGCTATTGTGTTTGCTGCTATGGGTGTCAACATGGAAACCGCTAGGTAAGATTATGCTATAGACGTCAAATTTTACATATTAAAAAAATCCCTTGTAGATTTTTTAAACAAGACTTCGAAGAGAACGGTTCTATGGAAAATGTATGCTTATTCTTGAACTTGGCAAATGACCCAACTATTGAAAGAATTATTACCCCACGTTTAGCTTTAACCGCTGCCGAATTTTTGGCTTATCAATGTGAGAAGCACGTTCTAGTTATCTTGACTGATATGTCTTCATATGCCGAAGCGTTGCGTGAGGTAAGTGACATTAAAATCATCGACAAATTGTGCAAAAATAGTAAATAGTAAAGAGGAGCAAGAATGAATTACCAAGAAGTATTCAAATCTTACACTGGTTTGCTATATTTGCAGCCTACATCTCATTTTGCATCCTAAATAAATGAATAAATAAATACTTACCTAATTAAGGGACCAGCTGTTTACAAAATCAGAGAAAAAACAAATCACCGCCTAGTGCTGAAAATACTACAAAAAGGAAACAAAGAAAAGAAAAATATCAATATCAATAAATGATCTTTCTAAGCACTGGGATATAAATAATTTAATAATAATAATATTCTAAAACCTATAATCACATCCTCAAAATAAAAAAAATTGAATTAAATTATAATGTTGCTACTAGAGATCACCCAATTTCAATGCGTCTATTTCAACAAGTACAAAAATAAGGATTATGTATCTAGTTCTACCGAATGCAAAAGTTATGGGTGTTGCAAAATCTGTATGGGCAAAAAAATTAAATGAAATTCTTAATCTCATCCATTTCGTCGTCAGTCTAAAAATCAAAGAAACAAGAAAAGAATACAAAAAAAAAGTTGGGAAAACGATTGAAAGAAATAAAAATATGAAAACTTGAATTGCATCTCAGGAATACACAAATTGACAGTATCAAAAACCAAGAGGAAGTGAAAACGAATGATTATTATTATTATTATTATTATTATGGTGTACACAATGGTGGGTGGATTTGAAATCTGTGATGATACCTTTGGGTCTTCTAGTTGTTTGCAGTTCGTTTCATCATTTACCGGTCCAGAAAATTTTTGAATTGGTTTGTAGACTGCACTGATTGTTCCACTCTTAAGGTTATTCCAGTGGTATACCACCCTGTTTGTCAAGAAATTTCTGAGAAGTAGTTTGTTACATTTTTCCTTGTTACGTTTCTAGCCTTTCTGCTAAACCAAATTTATTATGTAAAGAAAATTATAGAAATAACACAGCAATATTATGCAGACCTTATAACATAGAACCAAAACCACAAGTGATTCTCAGCAAGATATAAACTAAATTAAAAATTTTCAAGTGACCAGAAATTAGAAAATGCAAAATAAAGAGGGTAATCAAGGAAACCAAAAATAATAATAATAAGATAACTGGGAAAATGTTGACGAATTGTGGTAAAAATTGTTCCTAACAGCTGGAACGGAGCAAAAAATTATGCCAATATTGGTAAAAGTCTTTATCCATGACTGACGGCAAATCATCCCACCCTTTTTCCGAAAAATATTAAAATTTCAGGTGCCAATCTTGTAGAGCAGATGAACCTTAAGAATTGAAACTATTCTTCTAAAGAAAGTAGTTTGGGAAATATAGGACAAAATATTTTTGAACGCAAAGGGCCTCATATTTTGAAAAGGAATAAAAAATCGACAACAAAAACATACCTGTAGTGAACTCCAAGAACGGTAACGTTTTGCTAATATAACCAACTTCGTATCATTTACTGGTCTTGTTAGTGACGCATGGTTTTTGGGACACCCTGTATATCTTTGAACGAAAACTCGTATATTAGCGTTGTTGGTAGGTGTCCAACGTGTATACCAAAAATTGTTGTTCTAGGTTAAGCCGTTATTGAGCTGGAGCACCAACAGTCAGACAGACAGGCCGACGGAATTGAGAAAACAAGTATTTCGTAATATGGGGGCCTGAAAACAAATAAATGTGAAAAAATCTCGTGGTCGATTTTAGACCAAGAGGAACATGTAAGAGAGTGCTTACTAAGAAACATATAAAAAGTACTAAAAATAAACTAATACTAGGCTTAAAACTAAGAAACGAGTGGCGGATGAACAGATTTAATAAATTAATATGCCAAGGGTTTTGCAAAGAAATCTGAACAGCCTTTAAAAATATAAGGAGGGATATTATCCTCACCAGTGGCCTTTTTAGGTTTGGGATTCTCTTCAGTTTCATGAGAAAAGCAAAAACTAACCATCCACACTGGCTCAATTAGGGGTTGGTGAACACCAAGCTAAAATCAGCGGAAAATGCATCGAAATGCCCCAAGGGATCAACAAGCAGATTTTTTTCTATGTTTTGTTGATAAAAAATAAACTCCTCTTTTGTTTGATATTTAATAATAGTATTTCCGAGATTTTTATATTCGTTTATAAGAATATCATCGGCTCTGCCAGCTCGGATCGACTCATTATTACGATTCTTACATCTAATCTTTCACACCAGATCAACAGAAAGGTTCTAAAGAATTACAGTAGACCCATATAACTCTACTTAATGTAATGTACAAACTATTAACAAAGATACTAACCAACACATTAACATCCAAATTACACCTGATAGGAGAACAAGCTGATTTCAGAAAGGGCTTTAGAACGACCGAATATATTAACGATGAAAATATTAATCGGAAAAGCCAACAAATATCAAATCCCATTATACCTACATGGCGGCGTTTATACACTATGAAAAAGCTTCCGACAGTGTAGAACACTGAGCAGTGAAAAACTCCTCCCAAAATTTAAAAATTTACTATAGATATATGAAACATATACAACAAGGCAACAACAACTATTAAACTATTAGAATCAACTGGACCCATCAAAATACAAAGGAGTCATACAGGGATATACCATATCGCGTAAGCTATTCAACCAAGCACTCGAATATATGTTTCAACAACTAAAATGGGATAAATTGAAAATATGTGATTAATTATTATATTTACAATATTTACATTTTATTTACAATATTTACGTCCCCTATTTCAATATTGAAAGTCTCAATGGTCCTAGCTAAGGTTTGCCAGCAGCCCGGATGGATTTTCATTTTATTATTTTTGCAATCTTTGTTTATGCTGAGTATTGGTGGAACGCAACGCAAAAAGTTAAAGGTTGGCAAACTTTTATGTTCCGTAACGTGACGTAGATACCGTTACGTTAAAGTATGAATCACTTCATCTAATTTTCTATTTTTCTTTTTTAACTTTTTACAGTAGCGCTTGGTTACGGTACCTACTTCAATTGAGCTTCAAGGCGCAATAGATATAGTTATTATTGGTTCTGTATTCATTTGTATGCCAGAATGGATTTTAGATCAAATTTAGAGGATAAAGTTTTGAGAGAACAGACTAGACAGGTGGTAGCTAATATCATTACGTTTATGCAAAGAGAACCTTCTTCAAACGGCCTTGCCCACACCCAGCGACATAAACTTGACTTCATCCATCATGGCAATCGGTAGAATTAAAAAATTGATTTTTTTTATTTTAAATTTTCATGCATGTTGTCTCAGATGGAAGAAGTTTTGAGCGGGAAGTGCAGTATTTAGCGTTACACATATCACTTTGATTTAATCGGTTTTGCATAATTAAATTCCGTCCAAGGCCCGTCGTCCTTTGGATGCGTTTTTTCCGAATTGCAACCGTCAGAAATAGAACGAATAATGTCGTCAGATTGCGCATACGTGATATCGTCCACTGGACAAGTTTTTGCACACTTCGCACAGTTCTTACGTCTTTACGTCGTGGAGTAATATGGAAGATTATCTTTAGGAAAATATAATTATCTTGTCAGATGGCGATTGTTAAAAAGAAAAAAGTGCTGGTTAATGACATTTTAGCAAAAAGAAAATAATTCCGAGAATTTCATCATTTAAATTTTATATGATTATTTAAAGGATGAATTTTCTCTGCATGTTTCTCATGTGATATGATTTGACGGTCATATCCCACAAAGGTTTTTTTTTCCATATCAAATTAATCAATTTTTGGATATCCATATCTCTATATCTTCTCAGTAACCCAGTCAACATACACAAACCGTCAGAACTACTGCGAAAAATCACATTTTTTTTTTGGATCAATCGCAATCGCATGTTTTCGTCCGAATTTGCACGAATAATTTCGGGTACAATGTACGACCGTCATTGGGTTTCGGTTTCACTGAAATGGGATCATTCGCACTTCTTTCTCCGATTTCTGATGAATACAATTCGGACGAAAACGCATACAAAGGATGACCGGCCTAGAAAAAAAAAAAATTAAAAATTGGCCAAGAACAGGCCTGGCCACTCAAAATGTGATTACGTGTAATTTCAAAATGCGTTACATGTTGAACATGCCGGAAAGGGAGCGCGGACCGTTTTCGGCATGTTCAACATGGGGTCGACCGCTCCCTATAAAACGGCTTCTACAGAAATGACCATGCATAAACTAACAAAAGCACAAATACATTTAAATGCAGGAAACTATGAGCTATCAAATGGAAAAAAAAAATTGATCTGAGCCTTATAGTTTTTTGTAGAAAAAATCTTTCCTAAACTTAGCAGTTTTGTTAAATTTTACAAAAAAGTCGAAATGTAATAATTTGTAAAATTGTTAATTGTAAAGTTATAGGACCGCTTAGAAAACGCACTTATGGCAAATGGCAAATTTATTCAAGATTTAGATAGATTTTGAATAATTAATATTGGATAATCCATTCTTTCTCTGACGCACGAAACGTAAAAGGTCAATTTCAAGGTCTAACCCCTTACTTTGAACAACCTGTCAAAATTTAAAAACCATACTATTTTTTTCTCGGAAACTACGTTTTTTTTGCTTCATTACCTGGACTACTGGTGGTTATTGCAATTTTAAGTTTGAATAATTAGAGACAGTAGAAATTCAATAATTCATAGAATATAAATATGGCAAGCCTATAATGCAAAAATCTTAAAGGAATCAAGGGACTCTCTGCACTGTCAATTTTTTCATAGCTTTTACATTGCCAATATTACCTACCTAGACTATACAGAAGTTTCCTCTACGAGTCAGTTCTGTTTATCATTGTTTGGTACATTTTAAACAGCGGAGATAAAAAAAATTTGAACAAAAAGGGTGTCTGAGCATTGTTCGTTTTATAAAGGTAATCATCCTTTATATTTTTCTACCACTGTCAATCAGTTATGGGTTACGCCTTACGTTTTTTCTCGCCTGAATGACATCATAGCAAATATGCATAATTTCAACCATACACTTCCCTATAATAAGAAAGACATATTATCATGGTATGCTAATTTCTGAGCTTAAACTGATTCTTATTTTATATGACAGGTATCCGCCGCCAGAGAAGAAGTACCCGGTCGTCGTGGTTTCCCAGGTTACATGTACACTGATTTAGCTACCATTTATGAGCGTGCTGGTCGTGTTGAAGGTAGAAACGGTTCCATCACTCAAATTCCCATCTTAACGATGCCTAACGACGACATTACGCATCCAATTCCTGATTTGACTGGTTATATTACTGAGGGTAAGTTCCAGATAAATTGATTTTTTTTTATGGGCATTAATAATAAAATTTTACTTTTTAGGTCAAATCTATGTAGACAGACAGTTGCACAACAGACAGATCTACCCGCCAGTTAATGTGTTGCCATCCTTGTCGCGTTTGATGAAGTCTGCTATTGGTGAGGGTATGACCCGAAAGGACCACTCTGATGTATCTAACCAACTGGTATGTACTTTTTTTGTTGTTACGGTAGATAGTTTGATAGATAGAGATTTATATACAAGAATAGAATTGCTGATATGTGTAATTACATATAACAAGGATCTATCGATAGTTTTCTAGAGAAATGTGAGTATATTAATGTAATGGTTGTTTATAGTACGCTTGCTACGCCATCGGTAAGGATGTCCAAGCCATGAAGGCCGTGGTCGGTGAGGAAGCCTTGACCCCTGATGATCTCCTTTATTTGGAATTCTTGACCAAGTTTGAAAAGAACTTTATCTCGCAAGGAAACTACGAAAACAGAACCGTATTCGAATCTTTGGACATTGGCTGGCAGTTACTCCGTATCTTCCCCAAGGAAATGTTGAAGCGTATCCCTGCCGCCACGCTCGCAGAATTCTATCCTAGAGATTCGCGTCACTAATATTCTTGTTTTCTTTTTGCTTTTATGCCCGTTCAATTACCATAAAACTTAATAATTTAATGTAGGTTGAAAAAAACCATTGCAATATAAAAAATTAGTTTAAGAAAATCTAGTAATAGAGCCTCAAAACCATTAACATATTACTACTGGCTGGCATTATGTAAACGCAGTTGTGTGTTGCGAAGTGTGCAACTCCAATATTAATACCTATCCTAAGAATGCTGACCTCCTGAAGTTTCAAAAAAGTACAGAGCACAAGATGCAATCAATTTCTAGGCCTTTGATCTGTATCATTCTTGCAAGGAAACATATTCCATTAGGTTAGAAGTCAACAGACAAACGAAAAATTTTCCAATCATTTTACTATTTTGTGTTCAACAGCCAGAAGTGCCACATTTTATGCATTTTCTTGGCATCACAACAAATCATATGTTGTGCCTATCTGTGGTAACGTATCATTCCGTAAAACTATGAATGATGAGTTCGAAAAAAAGTCACAACTTTCATGAATACTTTTGTCTTCCACTGAAACGAAATATAGGACTATATGTTTGTGTTTTTCCGTATATGTCTACATATATGTAACTTCTATTTGAAGAAATACATAACAATGCAAATGTATGTACCGTCTACGTTTTGTGTATTTTGTTGCTACCAACTGTTCATTTCTGAACTTACAGTTACATAATGATATTCATCATGTCACTAGTAAGAGACTTTATTACTAAATTTATTTCAAAAAAACACCCACAACGTCGATTTGTCATCATTAAAGTGACAATTAATTCGCTGTATAAAATTATTGCACTTGGTGCACAGTTGTCAAAGTCTGCATGGTTATATTCCACTCTTGTAATTATAATATTCCTTATACCACACTTGTAATGTAAATAAATACCAAGCAAGTAACAAGTAACTAACCCAAACTACTAGTCTCCTGAAATTATTTACGATTAAGCACAGGGTGAGCATATATATTTTGAACCTCACCTAATTCATCATTATAGGTAGCAGGTAGAAGGTGTGAATACAAAATTTGCAGAGATTGTGTTTTTATTATCATCTTTTGGCACAAGCATAAAAAACAATCACTCATCACCAAGTGCGGAACATGCACAACACAGAATTTTTTGAAGGCTACCTATAATAATTAAGCTTTCAAAATATAAATGATCACCAAAATATAATATATTATATGCTTTCTCAGTTGTATAAATACTTGGAAAGTTATACAAATGTGAAACGGGCATAACACTAGGATTAAATTGATGCTTTAGAAGTTTATCTTTAGTTATAGATTAATTAAACAAATTCATTGTTGGATGTAATTTTTTTTATGGATGTAATATAATATGTCTTCAAGTGAAAGATACTTTATTAGTCATCAAGAACCTATACCTACGTATTCTTTTAGTGGCGCTAATGTGAGTTTTTTTTTTGTTGGGATACATTCCACTTTACTTTAATTTTTAGTCAGAGTATACTCAGTATTGTAATTATAGAAATGGAGACTTCTGGTCTAAGGTTTTAGCAGATATAAAAATATAATTACCAGTTGTTGATCTATTTTATGTTGTTAAGAGTGTAGGTGCAAATATTACTATGTGAATAAAAAAAGTTAATTAATTAATATGAAGTATTACTGAAATTTTTTTCTACTCAACTATTCAAATGAATCCCCAACTGGAGGCTTGTTATATGTATATTGTATTGTATACAAGATACTTTTTAGAGAGTGAAGACAGTGTTGTTGTTGTTGTTGTTGTTGTTTTATGATTGTTGTCATTTGTTTGCACTAAGAGAGGTCAAAATGTAATACTGGAAGAAATTACTAAATTACATATGAAAACGCCATCTTTAATGATCCGGAGGATATTGCTAAAGCCTGCAAATTATTTTAAATTGGTGTATGGAAGGGGTTCTATGCATTTACTAGATAATCTGAATTGGGGCAATTTTGAATGCCTATCTGAAAGTTTAATGAAAGAAGGCATAAAGCTGCTTAAACCAAGAAGATCCACAGGTGTAGATGGTATTCCTAGCTATATACCTATTTGAAGGGTATGCTGAACAGCTTGCACAACCATTATCTTTCTTATTTATTCCATTTGACCATAAATTGCAATAAGTTTCCAAACGAACTAAAAACTGCGGTTGTAGTACCAATTTTTAGAAAAGGTAAAATCAGTGATGTCAATATTTTATCGACCCATAAGTTTAATTGATACATTAGCAAAATTGTTTGAGTTGATATATGACCAAATTAATAAATTGGTATAACCAGAAATCACAAATTTTGAACACGGATTTCTTAGGATGCTTGACCACTACAAACCTGTCCGTTTTTTCTGAGTATGCTTCCATGGCAATTGAAAGTGGTAAACAACTGGATGTTATTTATACTGATTGCTCAAAAGCCTTTGATAAGGTGAGTGGGTGAGCGATGAAATTCTATTACATAAGCTTGTCAATTTGGGTTTTTCTGAAAGGGCATGTACATTTATTGAGGGTGGGTATTATGAAAACTATTTAGACAGTTAACTTAAAAGTTAACTTCTGGAATCACGTTACTTCCCATAGTAATTCCAGAAGTTAACTTTTTGCTATCTGTCGAAATAGTTTTATAATACCCCCCTAAGTCATACTTATACAGCGGCCACAAAAAGTTAAAATTGATAAATATTTCTCTAAATAATACATCAGCACATCCGGCGTATCACAGGGCAGCAACCTTAGTCCTTTGATTTTTTTATTGTATATAAATGATGTGACCAATGCTTTGAAAAAGTCAACAGGATTCTTTATGCTGATGATTTAAAGGTTTTTAAAACGATGAATCTGATTGTGTTCAGTTACAGTCTGACATTAATGCAATATCAAATTGGCTTTATGAAAACGGTATGTACCTCAACATAGACAAATGTAATGTAATGACATATAATTCAAATATGTTGTATATGATTATGAAATAGAGAACCAAACACGACAGAAAATACAATGTTAAAGATTTAGGGGTACTTTTTTCACCAAATCTTAAATTTAATGACCATTTTAGCTATGCCACTGGGAAAGCATGTCTGGGATTTGTTACACCTAATTCTGGAAACTTTTACACTTCAACCATAAAGTTGCTTTATAAGTTTATAACTCAGTGATTAGGCCTTATATAGAGTATGCCTCATTTGGAGCCCGATGGCAACTTCTAATATTGATTTTATCGAAAGGGTGCAAAAGTGATTTTTGAGCTATCTCTATTACAGGGAAAATGGTACCTACTTATCCTTACATGCTGTCATATAGAAGTATGCTCGAGGATTTTAGTTATAAAACTCTGTGCACAAAAATTCAATCAAAATGCAGTTTTGTTTATGTTTTGTATTGTAAATGACTTAAACTATAATAGGGTACTTGCATGAAAAATTTAATTGAATATTGTTTATTGCAAACTGTAAAAAATCGAAAAAAAATCGATCGTGTTTTTTTCTTTTGCCCAAATAGAATTATTCCAAAAGTTATTCAAATATTAGGTTTTGTATGTATAGATATATTGAGCATGTGCGACGTCCTAAAGTATTATACCTTATGACGTCACAAGCAGATTTCAAAGCGTTGTATCTCCGTCAATTTTTGACTAACACCACAGAATAACATGAAAGGGAAAAAACACTTGTTGACTTATTTTTCATTTTTTAAGGAAATCAGCAAAAAAAAAATTTATTATTGCAAAATTATTAATTTCATTAACCCAAGTAGCATTTTGACGTGGTTATCGTACATAATACACCAAATTTAACGTTGTAGGTTCTAAGTGTTTTAGTGTAGAGTTTAGGCATTTAAGAAACGGCGCTCTCTAAACCACTGGACAACGTCGTCTTAGTGTTGCGCAGGACTTAAGCTAAACTACGACGTTGTGACGACGTTTACGCAACCGACTACAATAAGGTAATATTTTGGGAATGGGAATAACGTTCTGACAAAGTTCAGGTGACAACTTAAGTTATGTTAAACGTTTTCTCGACGGAGATCCGACTTTGGAAGATTTAACTAAGCAGTAGGCAGTTTTTCAGTTATATTGGAAACGTTTCCGCGGAGTCACCTCAACTTTTCAACTAACCTTTTTTCAAATACAACCTCAAAATAAAAAAGTCGTTCAAGACCATCCGACCATCAAATTAAAAATGAAACGAGCCTTGAGCCTTCAGATAAACTGCCTCATATTGACAAAAAAAATTATGTCATGAAGAAAATTCACGGGCACAAGCCTACATGAAGACAGACAGATCCGAGAACTTAAGTTCAAATTCTTCAGGAACAAATGCCAACCCGAGTGCGAATCTGAATGCAGAATTAATATTAGTAGGGGAAGCAACCAACTTTCCAGAGGACCAATAGTTTATGCAGGATAAACAACTCGATCATGAGGAATGGCTTCATCACATGGAACCGAGGAAATAACTCAATAATGAAGAAGAGATCACTCTAGACTAGACTAGAGGAAGAAATAATAATAATACGGCAACTGAATGGCACGGAGAGGCACGTAGGCGTAGGTAGGCGCGATCGAAAAGTGTGTATTTTGGTGTGTTCGTAAGCTGAACTCAGTTCAGTTTTTGGTCGCTTAGCTCGCGTTTGAAACGATATCAACTTGAAATATTGGTTATCTAATTTTTTTCAATTTTTATTTTTATTTTTGAGTTTGAGAAATTTGCAACAGATTAGAGGCGCGCGTGTTTTAACGCATAAATGTATAGTACATTTACCAGTAAAGTGATATGCGTTGCTGATTTCTGTTTGTATATCGTGTTTTTTCGGCAATATAAATAAGGTATTTGACGCATTAGAAACACATTTGGATACGGTAGTAAGTTGAAAGAAAGTGTCCATTTTGACCAGGGTTGCCAACTTTTGAAATTGGTTCACCCGGAGATTTTTCCGCGACTGAGATAAAAATGGCGTTTCCCAAAAATATGTTAATTGAAACAGCAGAACAAACATAAGAAAATCAAAAACTAAAAATAAAATAGGTATTTCATTCCAGTTACAACATAGTAAACACTTTTTAACATCTATACCTACAATGTTGAAGAAATTTTTTTGACAGTTCTAATAGCCAATTAAATTTTCTTATTTTTTGCCATGTGATGCAAATCACCCAATCATTTCAACATTAAACTGAAAACAGATCCCATGAATTGTGTTTCTAGGTCTGTTCTAACAGAGATCAGAAACCACGAAACCAGTAAAAGCGTTTTTGATTGGTGCAAATCGCCATACAACCAGTTTTCTGACTATTTTCAACCAATGGAATTCGCTCTAACTGGTTTGTGATTTTGGTGAGAACAGACCTTCTATCACGTTGTCTCTCTGTATTTGCCAGTAGGTAATAGTATTTGGTTAATTCGCGAAAGAATTTAAAGCTCTGTTCTAACCGACATGAGAACCATTAACCGTTCCAGAACCATTAATTTTCAGTTGCCCACCTATTTTTCAATAAGTTGACCGTTTATCCTACTTGACAAATAAATTGATCGACTGAGACTCCGGGTCAAAACCGGAGAGTTGGCAACCCTGATTTTGACCATCAGTGAATATTTGGTTGAAAAATTTACTATTTCCTAAATACAACAAAAAGTAGGTAAACCCTCATCGCCATGAGAGAGGGCGCAGGTGTGTAGTTGTTTAAAAGTAAATTCAGAAACGTTTAGGAAACGACCAACTGCTACCCACAGTAGTTGAAACTTTAACGTTTGTGACAATGTTGTAACAAGGTCGATTACGCAACTTCTGTTTGGTTGCGCAACTTTTTCAAACACGTCGCCGCAACGTTAAATTGCTGCTTGGGAAATTTAATGTTCCCAAACCTAATCTAAGAATCTTGAATAAAAAATTTCAATACTGAATTCATCAAAAAATCCAAGCGATCAAGCTAGATTTCTAGCTCTTCAAGAACCAGAGAGCAGTGCCTGGCTCCAGGCTCTGCCATCCTCTGCACTAGGGAATCTTCTAGAAGACACCACCTTCCGCATCTCCGTCTCCTTGCGATTGGGTCAACCCTTATGTGAGACACACGACTGCACTTGCGGCAAAACTGTAGACATTTTTGGGCATCACGCCTTAAGCTACTACAAAAGTGCTCTGGCATCTGCGGGTATTCCCTCAGTGCTGAAACCTCCTGGATTATGTCGCGGCGATGGGAAGCGTGTTGATGGGCTCTCCTTATTTCCTTGGTGCAGAAGTAAATCTTTGATATGGGACGCCATGTGCAGGGATACTTTTGCAGCATCTTATTTGGCAAAAACCTGCAAAAAATCTGGAGAAGCTGCACGTGGTGGTGAAATGCAAAAACCAAAAAAATGTGAAGAGCTTGAAGCCAGTGGGTACATCTTCGTACCATTCAGTGTTGAGACAACGCTGTTACATTACTCAACAGATTAGTATTGCAATTCAACGTGGTAACGCAGCTTCAATAGTTGGGACCATTCCTGAAAATTCTGGCTTGAAAGAAATTTTTTACATCTAGCGGTATTTTTTGGGCTTTGGCCTTTTTTTTATATTATAATTTTTATATTATTATATTTTATTTAGTATGTAGGTAATTAACATAAGCAATAAGCATTGATCTCTTGCAATATGTAGGTT